GACTGAGTAAGACCCTGGCACCTTCTCATCAGAGTTCAGAGCTTTAGTTCCTCTCACAGTCGGGTCGGCCTGTCACAATAACACATTTAAAACTGAGTATTTTCCTCCTGAGAAATACTGAGATAAACGTGATGTTCCATGAGTCCGATAATTGATCATTAAGAATTTCATCGATTAGTACATTTTAATCGACAAACCGAATGTAAGCCTGACTAAACAGTACAGTCCTCTGCACTCAGAAGGAGCGAGACACAAACAGTGGGTCAGTCTGCAAGTACCAAAGTGCACATGCCGATGATTTGTACAAGAAATTCCACACTTTCCGTTGCGTTGGACAAGTGAGTCCATTCTGTATAAAGCAGCACATGTTTCTGTGTCAGAAAAAGTTTTTCATGAGAGCTCAATGTGACGAGGGCCCCCTTACCTGTCTGTTTTGACACCAAATCTGGTCACACACCTGTATTCTGGTCATGTCTTTTAATCCAAACTCAGCGCAAGAGCTGGAGTTTTATCTTCACTTATTACAATAACACATTTAAAACTGAATGAAACACAAAATCTCAAAGATATGTTTTCCTCCTGAGAAATACTGAGATAAACGGTGATGTTCAAACTACTTTATGCCACTGACACGAAGCAGGACAATCCCAGTAAACCTGTTTTAAATAAACTGTATCATTAAAAACTCTGAGCTACAACAATGATCAGAATGAAGCAACAGAAGTTTTTTATTCTCCCTGAGAGACACAAACTTATCCAGGATCAGTTCAGCTTCAGAGCTCAGGCCTCTGGATTGTGACTCACTCGGTTGTCTCATTATGTTCTAGTCTCATTTTAGATTTATTAAAGGTCATGTTATTACACTCCACATTCTGTTTATCCAGGGACAGAACTCACCCTCTGTCGATCATAAAGTCTAACTGTGCTCATGTTTTACAGACACCACCTGTCCTTAAAGAGTGACCACTCCAAGAGTCAACCTCCAGACTTTAATGAACCAGGACCAGAGTCTGAGTAAGACCCTCAAGAACCTCTGCTCCTGTCGCTCTGCTCCTGTCGCTCTGCTCCTGTCGCTCTGCTCCTGTCGCTCTGCTCCTGTCGCTCTGCTCCTGCCCTCCTCGACCTGAACCTGTTGAGCCTGATCTTTTCTGTAGTGACCATAAACAGGAGGAGATCCTGAGATGATTTGGCTCCAGTTCAGTTTGTGTGTTAAAGCGTGGCTCCTCTCTCTGTACCTGCTGCTGTCAGGCTCCTCATTCTGACCTGAGAATGTTGGTCTGAACCTGCTCTACATGATCCTGGGGTTTGGACTTCAACATTTTGTCTCTAAATCAAGATCTGAACATTAAAAACAGACCAATTAGACACTTTATTTCCCTGAAGTCGCTCTTGCTAGTGTTAGTAACAGGTTTGAATGGTACTAATATCATTGCTCCTGACTGGATCTTTAGTTGTTATGATACTAGGGCTGGGCAAAAATAAAAAATATTAATTTCGAGTGCGATTAATTGCATGTTATACGCAAAACCAATTAATGAATTAAAAACGTAGTGTATAGTGACTTTTATTGGAAATGTAAATGAAAGAGCCAAACATTTGTTGTGCAAACAGCGTTTCTTTCAAGAGTTTTTTCAGAGCTGAACCCTCAGAGTCTTCAAGGTATTCTGAAGGCTCAAGAAAAAATATTGAATGAATTTTTGTACTACTAATATATTTTTTCTATATTTTTTGTTCAGTGAGTAATAAACACTACACTAGTAATAATTTCTAGATCATTGTTAAAAACTTGGATTAATGTTTCTTGGGAAACAAAGGGTTAATATAATGGAAAGAAAATGGACCAATCACAATTTTTCTTCCAGTGGTATCTGGGTAAATCAGTGACTCCCCCTGCAGCACTGAACTAAACAAACACCTGCAGGACCTTCAGTGGCTGGAACGAAGTTTGAGATTGACAGTTGTCTGAGCCAATCATATTTCATTGAGTTATGGGCGGGATCATATCACGAAATCTACCGGGCCTTTCGCGAATACCCTGTGATAACATTATATAAGTAAGACCGCAGCGACGAAAACCACACTGGACACCTCTATTTGGACGCCTCAGGGGCGTCTGGAAGAAGGAGAAGAAAGAGAAAGAGAGCTCCTGCTGAACCAGAGTCCCTTGCGAGGTCGCCCGGTGTCTGTGACTCCAGTGTGAACGGTAAAGTGTCCCGCATGTGCACTGACACGATGACGTCAACCCCATGCGTCAGCGAATGTGTTTACTTGAGCGAGCAGCATGCTTGGAATTGCTTTGTGCTTTGTGTCGTCGGATGAATGCAGTTCGCGTCGCATGTCAAAAGATCTAGTTTCAGGAGTCCAGATCAAAAAAATCCAGGTCACATAGAAGCCAAAAAATCGGATTTGGCTCACTTCAGGCTGCAGTCTGAACGCAGCCTTAGACACGTTGCATCTCACGTGGTCAGAAAAAAAGTGAAAAAAGTTTAAAGAAAAGACGTCAAACTTAAAGAAACGCTTGCAGTGGACTTTTTAAAACTAAAACCACTCACCAACAGACATTTACAATATAAAATAAATAATAAAAACTGCGTTAACGGTGTTAAAATAATTGTCGGCGATAAGTAATTAATTAATTAATGCAAAATGAACGCGTTAACGTGCCCGGCCCTGTATGATACATGTGTTTAAATTTCTAAATATGGTCCCTGGTTTCAGATTAGTTGATATACCTGCCGCCTCAATGAGCTTCATTTGACTGGAGTCAAACACTGTGGTTCACGTCACTCTCCCTCAGTCCACTTCTTTCTACAGTCTGTGAGTTCAGGGTCTCATTGTTTTGTTTGTCCCACAGAGAGGAGAGCGCAGAGGGCCCCAGAGGAGACTCTGAACTGGACTCTGTTTTCCAGGTCTGTACCAGAACCTGTGTGTGTGTGTGTGTGTGTGTGTGTCTGTGTGTGTGTGTGTGTGTGTGTGTGTGTGTGTGTGTGTGTGTCTGTGTGTGTGTGTGTGTGTGTGTGTGTGTGTGTGTGTGTGTGTGTGTGTGTCTGTGTGTGTGTGTGTCTGTGTGTGTGTGTCGTGTGTGTGTGTGTGTGTGTGTGTGTGTGTGTGTGTGTCTGTGTGTGTGTGTGTGTGTGTGTGTCTGTGTGTGTGTGTGTGTGTGTGTGTATAAACTCCACATGTGTGTTTGTGTTTCAGCGTCTGGAGAAGCAGGTCGTGGCTTTTGTCCAACAGCAGCTGCAGAGGCTCCACAGGCTCCTGGCCTCAGATTACCCAGAATGCTCTGAGAGTGAGGGGGAGGAGCCGAGCAGAGAGGCGTTCCTTAACATCGTCCTGGACTTCCTGAAGAGGATGGACCAGGAGCATCTGGCCCAGCGTCTTTGGACCAGTAAGAACTCTGTGATGGTGTGAGGGTCCAGAGCTCTGAGGGTCAGTGTGTGGCAGCTCCTCACACTGTAACTCCTTTAAAGTGGAGTGAACCTAAATCAAACATTTCTGTAGTGTTTGTGTCCATCGTCCCTCAGAGCGTGAAGTTCTCTCCTGAAAGCAGCGTGTGCACTGGGCCAAACAACCAGCGCTGATCCCTTTACAGATCAGGTTTAGTCACGGCGGAGCAGCCGACAGTCGACAAGAGGCAGCAGGACTCTGTACCTGTGTCTGACAGTCAGGGGAAGAGAGGGGCTGAGCGCCCCCTGGAGACACAACTGCAGTTGTGCAGCGTTCTTCTGTTGTAATGAAGAGGAGGCTCAGCTAAAGCACAAAGCTCCTGTTGGAAACATATTTATTAAGTCAATGAGACTTGCACGGCTGCAGTAAATAAATGCTTTGTGATTGGCTGATGAGGATTTGCAAAGTGTTTGGGTTTAACTGATCCTGACTCAACAGAAACTAAACCCAGAGTATCCGAGTTACACTTCTTATGCAGATTTCTCTTTTTACAGGTCAGTTTCCTAAGGTTCAGAGAGAAGTGAAGAGTGTCCTGGTCCAGAAGTTCAGCCGTGTGTGTGAGGGCATCGCCAAAGAAGGAAACTCATCTGAACTGAAGCAGATCTACACAGAGCTGTACATCACAGAGGGAGAGTCCACAGAGCAACATGAGGCCAGACACATCGAGACCACAGCCAGAAAACCAGCCACTGCAGAGACCGTCATCAAGTGTGAAGACCTGTTTAAACTCCCCACACACAGACCAATCAGAGGAGAGCTGACCAGACACGAGCCAATGACCACAGAGACACAGCGACCAATCAGAACGGTGCTGACGAAGGGCGTGGCCGGCGTGGGGAAAACAGTGCTGACTCAGAAGTTCAGTCTGGACTGGGCTGAAGGCCGGGCCCACCAGGACCTCCATCTGCTGTTCCCGTTCACTTTCAGAGAGCTCAATTTGCTCAGAGACTCACAGTTCAGTCTGGTGGAGCTGCTGCACCACTTCTTCTGTCCATCCAAACGTCTCCACAGCCTCCAACAGCTCCAGGTGCTCTTCATCTTTGACGGTCTGGACGAGTGCAGACTTCCTCTGGACTTCAGCCGAACCCGGATCCTGACCGACCCCACAGAGTCCACCTCAGTGCACGTGCTGCTGGTGAACCTCATCAGGGGAAACCTGCTTCCCTCCGCTCACCTCTGGATAACCACGCGCCCCGCCGCGGCCAATCAGATCCCTGCTGAGTGCGTCTCCATGGTGACAGAGGTGAGAGGGTTCGCTGACCCGCAGAAGGAGCAGTACTTCAGGAAGAGGTTCAGAGACGAACACCAGGCCACATCCATCATCTCCCACATCAAGAGCATCAGCAGCCTCCACATCATGTGCAGCATCCCGGTCTTCTGCTGGATCCTCTCCACAGTTCTACAGAAGCTTCTGGAACAAACAGAGGAACCAGAGCTGCCCCAGACTCTCACACAGATGTACGTCCACTTCCTGGTGGTGCAGGCCAAAGTCAAGAACATCAAGTATCACCAGGGATCAGGGCCAGACCTTCACTGGACTCCAGAGACCAGGGAGATGGTGGAGTCTCTGGGAAAAGTGGCCTTTGAGCAGCTGCAGAAAGGAAACCTGATCTTCTACGAGAGTGACCTGAGCGAGTGTGGGCTGGACGCTGCAGCGGCCTCAGTGTACTCCGGAGTGTTCACACAGGTCTTTAGAGAGGAGCCAGGTCTGTACCAGGACAAGGTCTACTGCTTCATCCATCTGAGTCTGCAGGAGTTTCTGGCTGCTCTTCACGTCCATCAGACCTTCTTCAGCTCTAGAAAGAACCTGCTGAAGATACCACACTCCTCTGAGAGTCCTGCGTCTGAGGCAGCCTTCTACCGCTCTGCTGTGGACCAGGCCTTACAGAGTCCAAACGGACACCTGGACCTGTTCCTGCGCTTCCTCCTGGGGCTGTCTCTGCCGACCAATCAGAAGCTTCTGCAGGGTCTGCTGACTCATACAGGAAGTGAACGGACCAATCAGGAGACAGTAAAGTACATCAAACAGAAGCTGNTTGCAAAGTGTTTGGGTTTAACTGATCCTGACTCAACAGAAACTAAACCCAGAGTATCCGAGTTACACTTCTTATGCAGATTTCTCTTTTTACAGGTCAGTATCCTAAGGTTCAGAGAGAAGTGAAGAGTGTCCTGGTCCAGAAGTTCAGCCGTGTGTGTGAGGGCATCGCCAAAGAAGGAAACCTCATCTGAACTGAAGCAGATCTACACAGAGCTGTACATCACAGAGGGAGAGTCCACAGAGCAACATGAGGCCAGACACATCGAGACCACAGCCAGAAAACCAGCCACTGCAGAGTCATCAAGTGTGAAGACCTGTTTAAACTCCCCACACACAGACCAATCAGAGGAGAGCTGACCAGACACGAGCCAATGACCACAGAGACACAGCGACCAATCAGAACGGTGCTGACGAAGGGCGTGGCCGGCGTGGGGAAAACAGTGCTGACTCAGAAGTTCAGTCTGGACTGGGCTGAAGGCCGGGCCCACCAGGACCTCCATCTGCTGTTCCCGTTCACTTTCAGAGAGCTCAATTTGCTCAGAGACTCACAGTTCAGTCTGGTGGAGCTGCTGCACCACTTCTTCTGTCCATCCAAACGTCTCCACAGCCTCCAACAGCTCCAGGTGCTCTTCATCTTTGATGGTCTGGACGAGTGCAGACTTCCTCTGGACTTCAGCCGAACCCGGATCCTGACCGACCCCACAGAGTCCACCTCAGTGCACGTGCTGCTGGTGAACCTCATCAGGGGGAGGCTGCTTCCCTCCGCTCTCCTCTGGATAACCACGCGCCCCGCCGCGGCCAATCAGATCCCTGCTAAGTGCGTCTCCATGGTGACAGAGGTGCAAGGGTTCGCTGACCCGCAGAAGGAGCAGTACTTCAGGAAGAGGTTCAGAGACGAACACCAGGCCACATCCATCATCTCCCACATCAAGAGCATCAGCAGCCTCCACATCATGTGCAGCATCCCGGTCTTCTGCTGGATCCTCTCCACAGTTCTACAGAAGCTTCTGGAACAAACAAAGAGACCAGAGCTGCCCCAGACTCTCACACAGATGTATGTCCACTTCCTGGTGGTGCAGGCCAAAGTCAAGAACATCAAGTATCACCAGGGATCAGGGCCAGACCTTCACTGGACTCCAGAGACCAGGGAGATGGTGAAGTCTCTGGGAAAAGTGGCCTTTGAGCAGCTGCAGAAAGGAAACCTGATCTTCTACGAGAGTGACCTGAGCGAGTGTGGGCTGGACGCTGCAGCGGCCTCAGTGTACTCCGGAGTGTTCACACAGGTCTTTAGAGAGGAGCCAGGTCTGTACCAGGACAAGGTCTACTGCTTCATCCATCTGAGTCTGCAGGAGTTTCTGGCTGCTCTTCACGTCCATCAGACCTTCTTCAGCTCTGGAAAGAACCTGCTGAATCCAACACAGTCCCCTTGGATATTTAAGTCTATAGCCTTCTACCGCTCTGCTGTGGACCAGGCCTTACAGAGTCCAAACGGACACCTGGACCTGTTCCTGCGCTTCCTCCTGGGGCTGTCTCTGCCGACCAATCAGAAGCTTCTGCAGGGTCTGCTGACTCATACAGGAAGTGAACGGACCAATCAGGAGACAGTAAAGTACATCAAACAGAAGCTGAATGAAGAGGGTGTGTCTGCAGAGAGAAGCCTGAACCTGTTCCACTGTCTGAACGAGCTGAACGACCACAGTCTGGTGGAGGAGATCCAAAAGAACTTGAGAGAAGGACGTCTGAAGGCAGATGAAACTGTCTCCTGCTCAGTGGTCTGCTCTGTCCTTCCTCTTACTGTCCTCAGACTCAGACCTGGAGGAGTTTGACCTGAGGAAATACTGTCCCTCAGAGAAGGCTCTGCTGAATCTGCTGCCGGTCGTCAAGGCCTCCACCAAATCCATGTGAGTCCAGACTGCATGGTGGCTGCACTCACCTCACAGAGAGAAGGCTGTTAGGACAGGGCCTTATCATATCACTACTGATGTATCCAGATGTATTTGGGGATTTATTTGGGGATGGGGTGAAATGTGTAAAATGGTGATTTTAACTGCAGCTGATTTTCCTCTAGAATAGAAATAGAATAGAAAGCCTTTATTGTTATTATACAATAGTATCATGAAATTCAGAGCTGCTCCGTCAAAGTCCAAGAATTGAATAATAAATAAAACAAATTAACAGTTTCCCATTCAGTATGGTGACAGTTTTGGGGAAGAAGCTGTCCCTGAGTCTGTTGGTCCTTAGCTGGAATTGACCTGAAGCGCCTGCCAGAAGGCAACAGGTTGAACAGGTAGAATCCAGGATGAGACAGCGGGATTTGTATAATGTGGTTATGGAAGGACATGTCCTGTGCAGTGGTGATGACCCTTTGCAGACGCTTCATGTCAGCCTCTGTGCAGCGAGAGCCACACTGTCACAGCAGAGGTCAGCAGCTCTCAATGGTGGAATGACAGAAGGTCACCAGCAGCTTGTGTTTAGTTGCTCCTTCCTGAGCACCTCAGGAAGTGCAGCCGCTGCTGGGCCTTTTTGACCAGTGCTGAGGTGTTGACTGACCAGGAGAGATCCACAGAGATGTGAACCCCAAGGAATTTGAAGGACTCAACTCGCTCTACACTTTGGTCATTGATGTTCAGGGGGGCAGGGGAGGCTCTGTTCCCCCGAAAGTCCAGGATGAGTTCCTTAGTCTTGGTGATGTTCAGTGCCAAGTTGTTAGTTGCACATCACTCTCTGAGTTTCAGGACCTCATCTCTGTAGGCGCTTCATTCCCCTCTGTTATCAGCCCCAACACCGTCGTGTCATCAGCAAATTTGACAATGATGTTCTGTGGGTGGGTGGGACTGCAGTCGTGAGTGTAGAGCGAGTAGAGGACTGGGCTCAGCACACAGCCCTGGGGGCCGCTGGTGCTGAGAGTGCAGATGGATGACAGGAGGGGACCCAGTTTCACCTGCTGGGGTCGATTGACCAGAAAGTCCTTAATCCAGGAGCAGGTGGTTGGTGGGAGCCCCAGGTTAGCCAACTTGGGGATCAGGATGTCTGGTATTATTTTGTTAAAAGCTGAGCTGTAGTCAGTGAAGAGCATCCTGACATCGCTCTCCTGTTTCTCCAAGTGGTTGCTGCTTGTTTCAGTGACAGGTTAAAAATATCGTTGAAGACCTGTGCTAGCTGGTCAGCAGTGGCCTTGAGCACTTTCCCTGACACTCCGTCCGGGCCTGTAGCCTTCTTGGGATTAACGGCTCGGAGCACCTGACTCACATCCTCCACCTCAACAATGAGTGGGGGGTGTTGGAGATTGATTGTAGTGCGGGTTGGAGTGGTGTGAAATGTCGAGTGAAGTCAAGAATAAGACTCAAGATCTGGAGATGGTCCACTGCTCCTGACAGGTTTCTCCATTGTCCATAAAATGCACTCGTCTTATCATCGAGATGGACCAGAGTTTTGATCGTGATCTTTTGATGTTTGTCTCAGCCTCACTCTGCACTGTGCTCTAATGTCCCTCTGTCTCCTCAGTCTGTCCTGCTGTAACCTGACGGAGCTCAGCTGTGGTCCTCTGGCCTCAGTCCTCAGCTCCTCCAGTCTCACACATCTGGATCTCAGTCACAACGACCTCCAGGACTCAGGAGTGAAGCTGCTGTGTGATGGACTGAAGAGCGCCCCCTGCAGACTGGAGACGCTCAGGTTCAGTCAGCTACATTTTATCTTCCAGTGGCTGTGTTCAGTCTTTTCACATTTCTGTTCTGTTCAGTGGGAGAAGTTGTACTTAGACTCTTTTTATAATGAAAGTCAGGTCAGGTTTGATAATGCAGAACATATATGTACAACTTTAGGGTAGAATAACTTTTTCTTTTCCTCAGATTGAGGTCCTGTGGCCTGTCCTCTCTCAGCTGTGGTCCTCTGGCCTCAGTCCTCAGCTCCTCCAGTCTCACACATCTGGATCTCACTGACAACGACCTCCAGGACTCAGGAGTGAAGCTGCTGTGTGATGGACTGAAGAGCGCCCCCTGCAGACTGGAGACACTCAGGTCAGACACTCCCATGATGCACTCTGCCCCTTGTGTCCCAAACCAGCCCCTCCTCCCTCTCCCTCGCCCCTCACACTGCATCACTGTGAAGTCTCCTTTGGAGGTTCCTTCATCCTCGTGTACAGCTCTGTTTTCAGATGAAAACTCTGGAAACACGTGTTTGGATTCATTTTATTCTGAATTTCAGTCATTTTTAACTATAAATGATCAGTAAAATTCACAGTGAAAAATTTTGCACCATAGTAGATCTCCAGACTAACTTTTTTAGGGACAGATTGAACTGTCCCAAATAGATTTCCTTCCATCCTGAAAAAATTAAGTTTTTAAAGTAAAAATTTTGTTTATTAATATTCACATTTTAATGAAATGTTTCCAGTGCATTCTGCCACATATTCTACTACACATTTAAATTATAACATTATTAGTTAGTTTATTAGTTAATTATTCATTTTACCCTCTTATTCTTTCATTTCCTGTATTATAATTTCTTTATTATGTTAATAAACTGTGGTTTTATTTACTCATGAACTTGACTTATAGAGAACCTGCATGTGACATCACAGCCTTGCACTGATCCACTTCTGGCGAGTCAAAGCACCAATAAACCACCATTGTAAAGTTAACACATTTTTGAGTCATTCACATTAAGACACATGTCAGAAAAGTGTTGTGCACAGAGCTGTAATCAGCAGAGAGATAAAGACTAGTTCAGTTGTATCGGATCCCGGTTGAAGTTGACAGACGAGACAAGTGGAGCCTCCATAAATCGGGAATTTATGACCCGACCACAGACAAAAGGACGAGTCGGCAAAACACTGCAGACTTTGTAACAAACACTTTGTCGGAGGTCAGACATCATCAGTTAATCCAATTCTAGAACAGTGCATAATTAAACACTTAACCCAGATAGAAGCAGGTTCACAGCTGGACTATTGACATTACAAGGTTACTCTAGCTAAGCTGATGTAAGATTTAAGAAAGTGAATTACCTCTGTGGTTATCAAAGATATTTTCTTTGTCAGAAGACACCACACCAGGGGTCATAAACCCACCCTGAGGTCAGATATTTGTAGGTGTGTAGACTCTTGTAAGTCTTCAAACACGATCCAGTGCACTGAGAGGGGAAGTTGATTAAGTCGTAGTAAAAGTCTGCATATTGTAAATCCAGCAATGCAGCACATTGTTTTATCGGTGTAAACAGAACATCTGGAATGCAATGTGGGTCTGAAATGTTGAACCTGTTTAGTTTTGCCTCATACTACTTTAGTTTATTGCTTGCATCCAAGTGAGAAGTGCGGTCAGTGTGTTGAAATTCCATGTTTCTAGAATGTTAACTACCGTCGTCGGGACCGTCAATATGGCGGCCAAAACAAAAACGGTCACAGGGCTGCAGGTTCTCTACAGCGCCTTGGTTAAAAGTGTTTGATTTGTCTGTGACTGCAGCATAAGTGACTTTGAGGGTTTTTATTAGTGACTGTTTTTGTGTGACTCTGTGACAGAGTTTGGTTTAATGCAGGTGGAACAGAACAGCAGCTCCAGCTCAGCTCTGTGTTCACGGCGCTACAATCTATTAACTCCTGGACAAACTTACTGAGGGAAAATCCCCCGCGCCTCTGTCCTCTGTGTGGACACAGCGTGGACTTGGTTTAAAGGGTTTTGGAGCATTTTACACTAAAGTTGATTTTCAGACGAGCAGAGGACTCAGATAAAGTTTGAAAAGATCGTCCCCGCATCAATATTTACCGTCCCTGTGATGACGGGACGGTGTTAGTCTCGAGCCCTGAGCAAAGGTCCAACATGCCAAAACCCGTCGACTGTGTGACTGAGGCTGTTTCCTATTGGCCGCTCTCTTCTGTGGGCGGGATTAAAGAGTCAAAGAGATGAGGATTTGATGAGGATGATTCTAATAATCATTTGATTGGTTCCGTACAGTATTTCCTGCTTGTTACTGAGATCGATCGACTTGGGCCGCACCTCATTTATCTTTTCTCACTTCCTTCTCCTTGATTCCTCTCCTTGATTCTGCAGGAAATGGGTGAGGAAGTCCCGCCCACAGAGGAGACACAGTGAGGAGAGAGGATCTAAACTCCTCACTGACACCAATAAAGTTTGGTTCTTTTCTCTGACGTCTGCTCCTGAAGTCTCCCTCAGGTTTACTCCTTCATTCTGTGGTTTTCTTTGGGACAACACTTAATATGACACATTTGATTGACAGCTGAAAAATGGAGGATCAGGAGAAGGAAGCGAGGAAAGAAAAATGAGACGCAGCCTTGATTCACAAAAGTGTTAAAGCACAGGGAGTGTAGTGCTCCCCCTTGTGTTCACATGAGTGTAGTGCTCCCCTTGTGTTCACATGAGTGTAGTGCTCCCCCTTGTGTTCACATGAGTGTAGTGCTCCCCCTTGTGTTCACATGAGTGTAGTGCTCCCCCTTGTGTTGACATGAGTGTAGTGCTCCCCCTTGTGTTCACATGAGTGTAGTGCTCCCCCTTGTGTTGACATGAGTGTAGTGCTCCCCCTTGTGTTCACATGAGTGTAGTGCTCCCCCTTGTGTTCACATGAGTGTAGTGCTCCCCCTTGTGTTGACATGAGTGTAGTGCTCCCCCTTGTGTTCACATGAGTGTACTGCTGTGTCTTTAGTCTGTCTGGATGTCTGGTCTCAGAGAGGGGCGGGGCTGCTCTGGCCTCAGCTCTGAGCTCCGCCTCCTCCCACCTGAGAGAGTTAGACCTGAGCTACAACCATCCAGGATCCTCAGCAGATCTCCTGACCGCTCTACAGGACCAGCGCCCCCTGCTGACTGTCAGGTGAGAACCACCCCCTGCCACCTCTAAGTCTCTGGTCTGTCTGGTTGGTCTGGTCTGGTCTGGTCTGGTCTCTGGTCTGGTCTGGTCTGGTCTCTGGTCTCTGGTCTGGTCTCTCTGGTCTGGTCTCTGGTCTCTCTGGTCTGGTCTGGTCTCTGGTCTCTGGTCTGGTCTGGTCTGGTCTCTGGTCTCTCTGGTCTGGTCTCTGGTCTCTGGTCTGGTCTGGTCTGGTCTCTGGTCTCTGGTCTCTGGTCTCTGGTCTGGTCTGGTCTGGTCTCTGGTCTGGTCTCTGGTCTGGTCTGGTCTGGTCTGGTCTGGTCTGGTCTGGTCTGGTCTGGTCTCTGGTCTGGTCTGGTCTCTGGTCTGGTCTCTGGTCTCTGGTCTCTGGTCTGGTCTGGTCTCTGGTCTCTGGTCTGGTCTGGTCTGGTCTCTGGTCTGGTCTGGTCTGGTCTCTGGTCTGGTCTCTGGTCTCTGGTCTCTGGTCTGGTCTCTGGTCTGGTCTGGTCTCTGGTCTGGTCTGGTCTGGTCTCTGGTCTGGTCTCTGGTCTGGTCTCTGGTCTGGTCTCTGGTCTCTGGTCTGGTCTCTGGTCTGGTCTGGTCTGGTCTGGTCTGGTCTGGTCTCTGGTCTGGTCTGGTCTGGTCTCTGGTCTGGTCTGGTCTGGTCTGGTCTGGTCTGGTCTGGTCTGGTCTGGTCTCTGGTCTCTGGTCTGGTCTGGTCTGGTCTGGTCTGGTCTGGTCTCTGGTCTGGTCTCTGGTGGTCTCTGGTCTGGTCTGGTCTGGTCTGGTCTCTGGTCTGGTCTGGTCTGGTCTCTGGTCTCTGGTCTCTGGTCTCTGGTCTGGTCTCTGGTCTGGTCTCTGGTCTGGTCTCTGGTCTGGTCTCTGGTCTGGTCTCTGGTCTGGTCTGGTCTAAACTGGACTTGTGTGTTCCAGGTTGGATCCTTGTGGAAAGCGCTGGATGGTTCCAGGTCTCAGTAAATGTGAGTATTTGAATTGTTCCAGTTTCACTTGTAGGACTGACACTGGGTACATCTGGATTTATTTATTCCAAAGAACTTGTGAACACATTTAGGGACCAGACGAGCTGCAGCCTCCACAAAAATCACACATTTTAAAAGTGCACAAGAACTTTTGAACAGGATTTGGAACAGTTGAAAACACTGATGAGGGTTTGAACTGAACTAAACAAAGAGGATTTTGAAGCCTGACATGAGCCAAGACGAGCGTCCTACAACAGAAATGATCCAATGATCTCATTCTCATTTATTTACACAGAAGCCGTTTAAAACCACAGGAAAATGGATGAAACTCATCATGACATTAGAATAAAAACACTCTGAACTGTTTCCTGTGTTTCCTCTTGATACAAACATTAGAATAATGTGAAGGTTTACCTCAGTCTCTCTTTCAGGACACACTCTTTACAACTTTAGTTGTGATTGTTGTTTGTTTCAGATTATTGTGAACTCACCCTGGATCCAAACACGGCACACAGAAACCTCACAGTGTCTGAGGACAAACGGACTGTGAGATTCTCTGCGTCTTTGTTTTCTCCTCCTGGATCATGAGGACAGATTCACAGACTGGTGTCAGGTCCTGAGCTCCTCCGGCCTCAGGGGGCGCTGTTACTGGGAGGTGGAGTACTGGGGGAATGTTGATGTAGCAGTGAGTTACAGAAGAAGAGGAAAAAGGTGCAGAGTTTGGATTCAATGATCAGTCCTGGACCATGAGGATAGAGCAAGGAAAATACTCTTTTTTACACAATGAGACAAAACTGCCTTTTTTGTTTCCATCTTTGTTAGAAGTAGCTCGTCAAACAGTTCGTGATCTTTTACCCTTCCTCTCCAGAGTGGGCGTGTTCTTGGACACTGAGGCTGGAGTTCTGTCCTTCTTTAAGGTCTCTGGTGAAAGACTGTTCCACCTCCACACCTTCAGAGCCTCCTTCACTGAGCCTCTGTTTTTGGGGTTTGGACTGAGGGGGAAGAACAGTTCTGTGTCTCTGTTGAACATGAGGAGGTCACAGCGCCCCCTGGAGGACGCCTCTTCTCTGTGAGCTGAGCATGTGTCATTCATGTGTTCATGTATTCATGTGTATTCATGTATTCATGTATTCATGTATTCATGTGTTCCTCAGAGTTTGTCTCATCTGTTTCTTCTCTTACACCAAACACAGGACATTTAGAAAAAGTTTTAGTTTCTCTGTTGAACTTTAATGTCTCCAGTGTCATTTTGTGATTCTCCTCATTCTGACTTCAAATTATTATTGGTGTTTGTCTTTGGTCCAGACTGAGGACAGACCCAGAGGGACTGATGGAGACCAGACTGAGACTGAACTATAAAACACCACTCAGCACAAAGACCACGTTTAGTCCTGGTTCATTCTTGGTTCAGTCCTGGTTTAGTCCTGGTTTAGTCCTGGTTTAGTCCTGGTTTAGTCCTGATTTAGTCCTGATTTAGTCCTGGTTCAGTCCTGGTCTAGTCCTGGTTCAGTTCTGGTTCAGTTCTGGTTCAGTCCTGGTTTAGACCTGGTTCAGTCCTGGTTTAGTCCTGGTTTAGACCTGGTTTAGTCCTGGTTTAGACCTGGTTTAGTCCTGGTTTAGACCTGATACATTCCTGGTTTAGTCCTGTTTAGACCTGTTTTAGTCCTAGTTTAGTCCTGGTTCAGTCCTGCTTTAATCCTGGTTTAGTCCTGATTCAGTCCTGGTTTTAGATCTGGTTTAGTCCTTGTAGTGACTATTTGTCAAATAAAAGTAACAAACAAAAGCGTGGGCAAACTCAGAACTAAACATAACTCAAATAATCACCTTTGGGCACCATGGGTTTGTGGTTTACGCAGCACAAATCAATGTCCATGACTAGAGATGATTTTCCAAGATTTATTTTCCAGTTTTTTGGCAAGCAACAAGGAAAACATGTTTAAGACGACTCCTGCTGCGTCTCCTCGTGACTGGTAAAAAACCATAGGCCCACCCAGGTCACTCTGGTCTATGTGTACCAACCTCCTTTATCCCCTAGGTGACCCGAATTAAACCAAAAACAAAAAAGAGGTGCTAACCTAAATAATACCAATTTAGACTAAGAAATTTGCAAGAATAATATTAACATAGCAAAAATATACAAATTAACAAAACTAAATTAGTAAGATAATTAACAAACAAAAATAATAAACAAATTTTAGAATCAACAAAATAAGCAAATAGCTCCTACAGTCTTTTTTAGTCCTGGTTGAGTCCTGGTTTAGTCCTGGTTGAGTCCTGGTTTAGTCCTGGTTCAGACCTGGTTTAGTCCTGGTTCAGACCTGGTTCAGGCCTGGTTCAGTCCTGGTTTAGTCCTGGTTCAGTTCTGGTTTAGTCCTGGTTTAGACCGGGTTTAGTCCTGTTTTAGTCCTGATTCTGTCCTGGTTTAGTCCTGATTCAGTCCTGATTCAGTCCTGGTTTAGTCCTGGTTTATTTCTGCTTTAGTCCTGGTTTAGTCCTGGTTCAATCCTGGTTTAGTCCTGGTTCAGTTCTGGTTTAGACCAGGTTTAGTCCTGTTTTAGTCCTGATTCTGTCTTGGTTTAGGCCTGATTCAGTCCTGATTCAGTCCTGGTTTAGTCCTGGTTTATTTCTGCTTTAGTCCTGGTTTAGTCCTGGTTCAATCCTGGTTTAGTCCTGGTTCAGACCTGGTTTAGTCCTGGTTCAGTTCTGGTTTAGTCCTGGTTTATTTCTGCTTTAGTCCTGGTTTAGTCCTGGTTCAATCCTGGTTTAGTCCTGATTCAGTCCTGGTTTAGTCCAAAATGGAGTCGGTTGTTTGTCTTGTTTTGTGCTGCAAAAAATTTGGTTTGTGCGATTCTGGTTCTGAAGATGGTAACAGTTTTATTTTCGGCCGATGGCGTCTCCAGTCCCTCAAAATGTTACACAGCCTCAAAAACAACAGCAACATCCACAATCACAGATCAGCGACTTATCAATGGGATCAATATCAGCAAAACACGTCAGGAACAGTTTTCAAACTCTCAATAATGCGGTTAACAGTCTTAGTCCTATTGATTTATCTGATCTGCTTTTATCACATGAGCCTCTCGGACTCTCAGCTCCTCAGGTCTCGTCTTTGAACTGTCCCAAGAGTCCAAACTGAAACTCGGCGACATTCAGTTTTTACGGCCCCCGTTTGTGGAACAGTCGACCTGAGGATCTGAGTGCTCATACTTTTAAAAATAAACTCAAAACGTAATTTTAATTTAGCTTTGAATTGAAACTTTTATGTGTTTTAAATTAAATTCATATTTTACTTAATCTCCATCTAATTTTAGCTCTCCATTTTATTTTTACTATAACCTTTTAGTTCTCTTTATGTTTCTCTCTAAACTGCTGTGTATATGGATGAAACCCTGGGGTGGGGTTGCTGTTGTTTTTAATCATTGTCAAAGTAAGTGCTTTGTGCTGTATTTCAAATGTATGAAAAGTGTTCTATAAATAAAGTTTGATTGATTGATATAACCAAAGAAGTCTATACTTCTTTTTTTTCTATGTCCTTATCTCTATGTAATAATTTATTCAAATTGTATCATAACAAAACAAAAAAGTGACATATGCTGTGGACGTCTTGTGCACAGTGGGACCTGGGAGTGGGGCTGTCGTGGTTAGAGAATTTCTCCTGTGGTGTGGTATAGCAGCGTAACACCGCGGTATGTGATGATATTGCGCCTCATCCCCTGGAGTTATAATATTTCCAGTGGCTCTGAAAAGTCTCTGATGATGCACTTGTTGCAGATGCACACGTACCTTGGTTGTCGTGTGGATATAGTGTGTGTAGTGTGTAAAAATCGGGGTCACCCGGGCCTTTCTGTGTGGAGTTTGCATGTTTCTCCCCGTGTCTGGATGGGTTTCCTCCGGGTGCTCCGGTTTCCCCCATCAACCCAAAACATGCTCCAGGTCTCCAAGAACAGTTGATGGTAAAGGTCAGTTAAAAACAATCAATTCAATCATTGTGTCCTTAGGCAAGACACTTCACCCACATTACCTAGTATGAAGGTGTGTGTGTGAGTGATGGTGGTCGGAGGGACCGATGGCGCCGAGTGGCATGGCAGCCACGCTTCTGTCAGTGTGCCCCAGGGCAGCTGTGGCTACAATAGTAGTTTACCATCACCAGGGCATAGAGTGAATGAATAATGTTGAATAATGCTCTGTAAAGCGTCTTTGGGGACAGAAAATGTCTGTGAAAAGCTCTATATAAAAAAAGACTTACTTAAAATTTGAACATTTGACTTTGGAACAAGTGTCGCTGCATCTCTCCAGCTCCCACTGTGGCAGCTCTGGTCAGAGTCCTGCACCAGGTCGGATCAGAGTCCTGCACCAGGTCGGATCAGAGTCCTGCACCAGGTCGGATCAGAGTCCTGCACCAGGTCGGATCAGAGTCCTGCACCAGGTCGGGTCAGAGTCCTGCACCAGGTCGGATCAGAGTCCTGCACCAGGTCGGGTCAGAGTCCTGCACCAGGTCGGATCAGAGTCCTGCACCAGGTCGGGTACCCGCGGACTTAAGAGAGAGAACCACGAGCACGCGGAGCAGGTGTCCCAAAGTGTGATCAGGCAACGGCTGCACTTACTTCTACACCGGTCCTTTCTCCTGTGGTCACCAGACGGTCTACGCGGGCGCACGTTAGTCCTGGGTTAGTCCTAGGTTAGTCCTGGATTATCATGGACACGGGTGGGTAACGGGTGGAAGGTTAGCGGGTCCGGGCGCGTGCGTGGGACCCAAAAATGGACCCATGCAGGACTCTGGGTCGGGTCACGTTGGCCACGTGCAGTGATTGCGGCGGCCCTCTTAGCCCCGTGGTGATTCATTTTTGCCGTTTCTGCGACTGCCCTACCTGGGAGGAGTGGGTGATCACTGGCATTTGAATCGAGAGGTTTGGTTTCATTTGGTAAGAACATTGATTATGGTGATGTGCAGCTGTCTGGAGCAGGGGCAGGGTGTCGGGGCACGGGGACGGGGCAGCACTCTCCTCTTCCTCCTCTGCGTCCTCTGTTCCATCTGTCCCTCTCCTCTGCTCCTCTGCTTCATCTGATCATCAAACTCTCAGACGTGTCACTTCTCTGGAAAGAATGTTTCCGTAACTAAAAGGACAAATAATTGATTCAGACTTCGGAAAATCACAAACAGATTTCTTTTATTGTCACAAAAATCATATAAAAGTTTAGCAGTAGAGCCTCAAAACACAGTCCGACTGATTTAAGTCTAAGTTTTCACTAAACAAACAAAAAAAAAAAAAAAAAAAAAAAAAAAAAAAAAAAGAAACATGTACAAATGATGAGAATGATCAGGTCCAGTGTTCTGTCCTGTGGTGGAAAAAACGTGGTAAAGCAGCACATGTTCATAAGAGTCACAGTTTTCCTTTAAAGCTGCAGTATGCAACTTTTCCGGAAAAGGGTTCACTAAATAGTCCCATAATACACACGCATGATAAAACATGTACTGTATGATTTCCCACACGTAGATATTAACAACTTATCTCTGTGCACAAAATGAGCATGCACACTCGAAAAGAAAACAAACTCTCTCGAAGTTGATTTCTGTTCGCACAAGATTAATTTCTTTTCTCAAAGTTGATTTCTGCTTGCACGAGATTCATTTCTACTCTCAAAGTTGATTTCTGTTTGCGTGAGATTCATTTTTGCTCTCTCAAAGTTGATTTCTGGTCACACAAGATTCATTTCTACTCTCAAAGTTGATTTCTGCTTGTGCGAGATTCATTTCTGCTCTCTTTCAGTTGTTAGCAGTTTGCTCATTTTTCAAAATAAAACCAAAACTAAGAAAATAAAAAACTATTTACTTCATTATTTGTCTCCAAAACCAAAATGAAAAAAGAGATAACGATTCATTTTTTCAGTTTTTAATTTTGTGTTTAAATGAAAAATGGAGAAAAAAAAACGGATAACGTATGTTTCCGTGACTTAAACTGCGATGCCGGACTTTCGCGCCACGTACAGACTGATCCCAGGACTGAACCAGGACTAAAACAGGACTAAAACCTGTACCTGAGTCCTGCACCGGGTCAGGTACGGGCAAATAGTTACTGAAACGGGCAGGTTTACGGGTAGTGATTACACACAGGCGGGTCAGGACTAAACCAGGACTACACCAGGACTAATCTTGGACTTAAGAGGGAGAACCCCGAGCCCATGGAGCAGAGTGTTCACAAAGCACGATCGGGTGATGGCTGCACATAGCCCCGCGGCACGGAGTTCTGTGCCGGTCCTTTTGCCTGCGGTCACACGACGGTCTACACGGGCACACCTCTGAGTCCTGGTTCAGTTCTGGTTCAGTTCTGGTTTAGTCCTGGGTCAGTCCGTGGCGTGTTGCAACTCAAAAGTCCGACATATCAATCAGTGTTTCTTCTGCTCGGTAAATAAAGCCTGTGAAGTTTTGACAATTGAGTCGCGTCTGTGAGTTCATGTTCGTACTGAAGAAAGCGAAACCGTTTCATTTCGTGATTGTAATTCTTGACTAGGGATGGGCATGATTAGTCGATTAATCGATAATTGATCATTAAGAATTTCATCGATTACGTTCATTTTAATCGACAAACCGAATGTAGGTTGCTGTGTGTAGTGTGACCAAACAGGGGTCCGTACATGTAGCTCTATACACTCAGAAGGCGCGAGCAAACACAAACACAGACACAGAGTCAGTCCGCCTGCAACGTATCGAAGCACAAATGTGTATTTAACGATGATTTGTACAAGAAATTCCACACTTTACGTTGCATTCGGGACAAGTGTGAGTCCATGTGCACATTGTATAAAGCAGCACATATGTTTCTGTGTCCAGTGGGAAAAAGTTTTACCAGGTGAGAGTCGCGCAATGTCGAGTCCCCACCTCCCTCCCCCCGTACGGTGTCCTGGTTTTGACAAACGCAAATATGGTCACACTAACCTGTATTCACCTGAGTCATGTCTTTTAATCCAACAGAAATTGACCGCATCAGCGACACAAGAGCTTTAGTTTTATCTTCGCTTATTTTATGCAAATTAGCGATGTGGTTTTAAGTTTTGTTTCTGTGAGAGTTGCGCAAAACTGCATTAAACACATTATAATGTCAAACGGGCTGATGTGGCTCTAGAGTCGTTACGGTTTATATGTCGTAAAGTTGAATTTATTTATGCAGATTAGTAGTGCAGATAGTAATAATAATGATGATCATTTTAATATAAAAACGTTAATGATTAATCGATAATCGATCGTTAATTCTTCCGACGATCGATTAAGAAAGTTTCATCGAATGCCCATCCCTATTCTTGACGTCGTAACTTTTCAGTTCGTATTCTTATAGTTTCTTCAGTAGAATGCTTCTAATTGTTTGTTTAATTTGTTATAATTGGTTTATCACGGGCACAGGCAGGTAACAGGTGTAATGTTAACAGGTCCGGGCAGGTGTGGGTTTAATTTTGATATAATCACGGGTTAACAGGCGAGTGCAGGTCTCCAAAAATGGACCCGTGAAGGACTCTGGACTAAACCAGGTCTCACTCACGGTTAATATCTACACGTGTAAAATAATACGATACGCCCGGATGCATGTTTTATCGTGCGTTTGTATTATGAGACTATTTTGACGCCACAGTTCGCCACCTGCTTGTCTCCATCACAACCGCCATGTTCCAAATAGGAAGTCTGCATCCATCGACTCTGGCTCCAGTTCACTTTCTGTTGAAAAAAACATCGCCCCTCTCTCTGTACCTGCTGCAGTGAGCCTCGCCATTTTGGTCTTAAAATGTTCGTATTAATTCGCTATTTTGGCCCGTAAATAAATTCCCATTCCTGATATGAAACTCTGCTCCAAATTCACCCCATAACTGCGAGCCTCGATGAGCTTCATTTGACTGGAGCTGCAGACTGGAGTCAGGTCAGATTGTCAGGTGCAGTTTGTGGTAAGTGTCAGATGCAGGTTTGCAGGTCGAGCAGGTTTGCGCTTAATTTTTCTGTAATTATTGAGCCTCTCCCCAAGAAACAAACTGGCACAAAGTTCAACGTCTTCTCTGTCAGAGAAATAAACAAACGTCAAACTGTTTTTTCAAAATACCCTCAGCGAGTGGTGTTGCCAGATTGGGCGGGTGCCACAAGGGGATAAAAAACAAACTAACTTTTCTGGAGAGGGTCCTTAAATGTTCCACAGTATGGCATTAAACTGATCTGTCTTAGATTTATTCAACCGCAGGTGCTTTTATTGCTCAAAAAAATCTTTAAAAATTCATACTGTGAGAGAAGTCGCCTTTCCACAAATCAAACCTGTAATTTAGCTTTCAAGTCTCCATGGAGATTCTTAAGTTTATGGTCATACTGTGGAACATTCTAGGCCAGGAGTGTCAAACTCAAACTCACAGAGGCTAAAATTAAAAACTGGGACTAAGTCGTGGGCCAAACAAAATATTTATTGAAAAATTTCAACATCTGCATTTTTTTTCTTTTGAGATATGTAATGTTCAACCTTTTCTTATTAAAATAAATGTTTATAAATGTTTTGCTTAAACATTGAATCCCGAACAAGCATCATATAAAACAAAAAAAAAACAAATAAAGTCACTATAGTTTATCTGTAGCCGGCGGGCAGCTCTAATACATGTCTGAAATGATCTCGCGGGCCAAATAAGATTTTATTGCGGGCCAAATTTGGCCCCTGGGCCTAAGTTTGACATGTCTGTTCCAGGCAGATCTCCATGGAGACAAACAGGTGACGGACCCTCCACCAAACAAGTTACAGAATGCAACTTTAACATTGAAAATCACATTCTACTGTCTAATGAAAAGGTGTTTTTAAAAATATTATTATTATCATTGAGGTATCAGTATCAAGTATCAGATCTATTCCTTAGTATCGAAATCAAGTCTGAATTTTATTATCGTGACAACACAAAACATTTGTCTAACCCCAGTCAAATCCATGAATCAAACATATTTTCCTTCATCAAAATCAAATTAAATCAATTAAATCCTTCACTTGTAAGTAGGGTTGTTCCGATACCGATACTGGTATCAGCAAAAGCACCGATACCGCACATTGTTCAGGTATCGGCGAGTATTCCGATACCACTCTGTACTCTATAGACTTTCTTTAGAGTTTAGTCTTTTAGTAGATTTATTTCTTGCTCTTGTTCTGTAACAATCTGTGTCATTTTTGTTTCATTCATTTCTCTAAATAAAACCAAAAATAAGAAAACGAAAAAACAATTATTTTCTTCATTATTTGTCTCCAAAACCAAAATGAAAAAACAGATAATGATTTGTTTTTTCAGTTTTTGATTTTGTGTTTAAATGAAGAATGGAAATAGCGGTTAATGTTATATAATAGTGTTTACGTGACTTAAATTGCGATGCCGAATTTTTGCGCCACATACGGACTGAACCAGGACTAAACCAGGACTAAACCAGGACTGAACCAGGACTGAACCAGGACTAAACCAGGACTAAAACAGGACTGGTCCCACTCTCAGTCCTGGTCTGGTCCCAGTCTGGTCCTGGTCTCAATCACGGTTTGGTCCGGGTCTGGTCCTGGCCTCAGTCCTGGTCCCGGTCTCAGTCCTGGTCTGATCCCAGTCTGGTCCCGGTCTCAGTCCCGGTCTGGTCCCGGTCTCAGTCCAGGTCTCAGTCCGGTCTCAGTCCCAGTCTGGTCCGGTCTCAGTCCCGGTCTCAGTCCCGGTCCAGTCCCAGTCTCAGTCCCAGTCTCAGTCCCGGTCTGGTCCCGGTCTCAGTCCAGGTCTCAGTCCCAGTCTGATCCCAGTCTGGTCCCGGTCTGGTCCCGGTCTCAGTCTGGTCCCGGTCTCAGTCCCGGTCTGGTCCCGGTCTCAATCACAGTCTGGTCCGGGTCTGGTCCTGGCCTCAGTCCTGGTCTGGTCCCGGTCTGGTCCCGGTCTCAATCATGGTCTGGTCCGGGTCTGGTCCTGGCCTCAGTCCTGGTCTGGTCCCGGTCTGGTCCCGGTCTCAATCACAGTCTGGTCTTGGTCTGGTCCCGGTCTCAGTCCAGGTCTGGTCCCGGTCTCAATCATGGTCTGGTCCTGGTCTGGTCCTGGTCTGGTCCTGGTCCAGTCCTGGTCTGGATAACAAATCATTATCTGTTTTTTTCATTTTGGTTTTGGAGACAAATAATGAAGAAAATAATTGTTTTTTTTTTGTTTTCTTATTTTTGGTTTTATTTTGAAAAACAAATTAACAAAAGACTGGTATCGGTATCGGCGAGTACACTAAGACCAAGTATCAGTACCGGATCGGATCCCCCTAAAACGGCATCAGAACAAAACTAACAGTGAGAAAATTGTGTTGTAGTTTTTTTTTTAGTTCAAACTCCGGCGTCGGTCTTGTCTCCCGGCAGCAGTTTCTCCGCCGCCGAATCCGCCGCCTGTTTCTGCGGCGTCTTTTTCATTTCCAGACTCTTGACCCACGTGTACGCCGAAGACCCCCCCAGCACCATCAGATTACTCGTCCACCACAGGAGACTTTTACTGGAGCCGTTATAGACCACCGCGATGACCGTCTGCGCGCACGCCTTCGCCGTCCCGGACACGTTGTGCGTCAGCGGGCTCGTGTATTTAATCTGCAAACCCGTCACGTACCCGATGGCGAAACCGAAAACTCCCCCGAGCGTCATCATGGACCAGAACGTGAGGTCGGTGAGGCGGCTGAAGCTGGAGACGCGCTGGACCTCGCCGAAAATGACGATGAGGGGCACGAAGAGGGCGCAGGCGTTGATGTTGTTGTAGTACGAGAGCTTCCAGATGTTTCCGTCCACAGCGGGCATGACTTTTTTGGTGTAAATGGCGTTGAGAGAGACGCAGGCGCTGGCCAGGACGCCGTACGCTACGCCGGTCCAGGAGAGGGAGCCGGCGAGTCCCTCCTGATCCACGCCCAGCCAGAATCCACCTGGAAAAAATAAATAAATAAATAAGAACATGCAGGGACAAAGTATCAAGCTGGGGGTGTACTGCAGGGATGTCTATGGCGGAACAAAAAACAAACAAAAAAGTTCTAAGAAAAAAACAAAAATAGGTTTAAAAGTTCAATATTACGCCATTTTTGGACTTATGTTATAATGTTCCTCATCACAAAAAGACCTGGAGTTGTGTTTTGTTATATTTAGGCCGACTTCTTCTTCAAACAGAAAATCCGTTCCACCTTGTAATAACACAGGAAGTGCTCCACTGTGTTTTTAAACTCCACACACCTTCATCAAACTACTTATGTTAAAGACCATACAGGTTCTGGAGAGAGGAGCCCGAGCGTTCATGGTCCTGTTTAAGTGTTTGATTTTCAGCAAAAAGGTGAAAGTGACGTATTTTTCGGATTATAAGCTGCACTTTTTTCATGGTTTGGGTGTTTCCTGCGACTTCTATATTAAAATGTTGACAGTGAAGTGTGGAGAGGTTCTCGTCTTGTGTGTGAGTATCTGCTCCTGTTCCTCCTGTTCCACTGTCACTTCACTCAGAGCCTGTGGTCAGTTCAAGTGTCCATTGTCCTGTTTAGGACATGCTCCAGGTCTCCAGAACAGTTGATAGTCAAGGTCAGTTAAATACAATCAATCAATGAACCTGTCCAGGGACGACAGGTGGAAATTAGCACTGATGCTACAACCTGATGTACAATGCATCTCTCCTGTCAAGGTTAATGCGAAAATTGTGCGCTGTCCCTGTCTCAAATAAATAAATAAATAAAAATAAATAAATAAATTTGATTTTTTTAAAAGGTGAGAGTGACTGTAATGTTACAGTCGTCCCTCGCTGTATTGTGGTTCACTTTTCGTGGTCTCGCAGATTTTTTGTGTGCAATTTTGCATGTTTTTTGTGTGTTTTTTTACAGTGTATGAACGTGTATCGCGTTCCTTCTCCTGCGTCCTGATTGGCTGAGGGACTCGTGTCTCCTGTTCAGTACAGAATGTGTTCAGTCAAATTTACATAAATGTTGGATCTGTATCAGTGTGATTCTGAAGTGTTGTATGTTTGCAAGTTTTCTCCCCGACAAAATCCACAATGTCGACGAAACGTTCTGCACCGAGAAAGGCTCCTGTGGTTGCACCCAAAAGACAGAGGAAGAAGTAGGAGGATGAAACCAGCTCACAAAAAGTTGGACTTCTGGACACGCTGAAGGAAGTAGAACTTACACGGCTGTAGCAGAGTCCTGCCCCGGGTCGGGTATCCACAAATAGTTGCTGAAATCAGGACTTAAGAGAGAGAACCCTGAGCCCGTGCAGCAGGGTGTCCGTAAAACACCATCAGGCTACGGCTGCGTTTACCTGCGTCAGGTGAGGACCTGAGTCGCTCCTTTCTCCTGTGGTCACCTCCGAGCCCGTCCTGACAGTGAGTCCTGTTTCAGTCCTGGTTCAGTCCTGTTTAGACCTGGTTTAGACCTGGTTTAGACCTGGTTTAGACCTGGTTTAGTCCTGGTTTAGTCCTGGTTTAGTCTGGTTTAGACCTGGTTTAGACCTGGTTTAGTCCTGGTTCAGTCCTCCTCTGCAGTCCTGGAATCAGTCGTAGGTTAGTCCTAGTTCAGTCCTAGTTTAGTCCTGGTTTAGTCCTGGTTTAGTTCTGGTTTAGTCCTGGTTCAGTCCTAGTTCAGTCCTGGTTTAGTCCTGATTCAGTCCTGGGTTAGTCTTGGGTTAGTCCTGGTTCAGTCCTGGTTCAGTCCTGGTTCAGTCCTGGTTCAGTCCTCCTCTGCAGTCCTGGAATCAGTCCTAGGTTAGTCTTGGGTTAGTCCTAGTTTAGTCCTGGTTTAGTCCTGGTTTAGTCCTGGTTTAGTCTTGGTTCAGTCCTGGTTTAGTCCTGATTCAGTCCTGATTTAGTCCTGGAATCAGTCCTAGTTTAGTCTTGGGTTAGTCCTAGTTTAGTCCTGGTTTAGTCTTGGTTCAGTCCTGGTTTAGTCCTGATTCAGTCCTGATTTAGTCCTGGAATCAGTCCTAGTTTAGTCTTGGTTTAGTCTTGGTTCAGTCCTGGATTAGTCCTCCTTCAGTCCTGGAATCAGTCCTGGGTTAGTCCTGGTTTAGTCTTGGTTCAGTCCGTGGCGTAGGCAGCGCAAAAGTTTGATATAATCTCGGGTGAACGGGCAGGTCTGGTCCTGTACAGGAGCAGGACTCTGTGCTGTCGGCTCCATTACAGAATAAATGAATCTTCGGTTCGTTACATAAAGAAGGAGGGAAATAACAAAAGGACGACAGCAGCAATAAGTTTTAAGAAGGATGTAAAAAGGTTTGTAACTGTCCTGTGTGAGAAAAGTGTATAAAGTTTGTGCTGAGGGGTTTTACAGACTTAAAACAGATAGAATAATTGTAAAATATAAAGCTGACTACTTCGCGGATTTTTATTTTTAGATAAACGAGGGACCAGTGAATTTGAGAAAGACTTGAACAGCACAAATCAGATCACATGTTGTAATTTCAGCTAAGTCAGGTCTTCGTGGTCCGATTGAGTTGATTTCGATGCATCTTGCAGCGCTGCCAGACGATGTGTTTCTATGTCATTTCGGGTTTGGTGCTACGCGAGTTCGGTCGTGTCACTGAAAGCTAAAAAAACGAGCTGAGTGTATTTGTGAAGTCCAAGGCCCTGAAGCTCCGGTTTCCCTGGAGGAGATGGTTTACTGCTGAGCTGAATAGACACGAGGAGCGTTTGGGGAAAGTGACATGACACCTGAGAAACAGAAACTAGTGTCGAGACAAGATACTGAGTCTGAAAGGAGAAGGGTTGTAAAAAGTATCAAAAATCTGAACTAATCGATCTTTAAACCAGTATTGAAAACAGATACTCATTTGAGCCGGTATTGATACTAAAAAACTTCACATTCACAGGACAGAAATGAACCTTTTTAAATTTTACAGTGGATGTTTTACTTCGCTTCACCACATTTGACATCAAAACTGGGACGTCTGGAGACTCTACACCAAACCTGAGCCTCGTCCAGCTCCGGGTCACGGACGGGTCTGTGGTCGACTCTGATCGGCCCGTTTAAGACCATTTGGAACAAAATAAATATACTTTATTATTTTACCTCATGTCTGGACTAAAGCTGCATTGGTTTTATTATTAATTTAATTTAGAGGCGTTTTTAAAACATTGACATTTTTCGTAAAGCAACTTCACTAAACCAGAACTAAACCAGGTCTAAACTAGAACTAAACCAGAACTAAACCAGGTAACTAAACCAGGACTAAACTAGAACTAAGCCAGAACTAAACCAGGACTAAACTAGAACTAAGCCAGAACTAAACCAGGATTAAACTAGAACTAAACCAGAACTAAACCAGGACTAAACTAGAACTAAGCCAGAACTAAACCAGGACTAAACTAGAACTAAACCAGAACTAAACCAGGTCTAAACCAGGTCTAAACCAGGACTAAACCAGAACTAAACCAGGTCTAAACCAGAACTAAGACAGGTCTAAACCAGAACTAAGACAGGTCTAAACTAGAACTAAGCCAGAACTAAACCAGGACCAAACTAGAACTAAGCCAGAACTAATCCAGGACTAAACTAGAACTAAACCAGGTCTAAACCAGAACTAAACCAGGTCTAAACCAGAACTAAACCGGGTCTAAACCAGAACTAAGACAGGTCTAAACCAGTACTAAACCAGAACTAAACCAGGTCTAAACCAGAACTAAGACAGGTCTAAACCAGGACTAAACCAGAACTAAACCAGGTCTAAACCAGAACTAAGACAGGTCTAAACCAGAACTAAGACAGGTCTAAACCAGTACTAAACCAGAACTAAGACAGGTCTAAACCAGAACTAAACCAGAACTAAGCCGGGTCTAAACCAGAACTAAGCCAGAACCAAGCCAGGTCTAAACCAGGACTAAACCAGAACTAAGCCAGGTCTAAAGCAGGACTAAACCAGAACTAAGCCAGGTCTAAACTAGAACTAAGCCAGAACTAAGCCAGGTCTAAACCAGGACTAAACCAGAACTAAGCCAGGTCTAAAGCAGGACTAAACCAGAACTAAGCCAGGTCTAAACTAGAACTAAGCCAGAACTAAGCCAGGTCTAAACCAGGACTAAACCAGAACTAAGCCAGGTCTAAAGCAGGACTAAACCAGAACTAAGCCAGGTCTAAACTAGAACTAAGCCAGAACTAAGCCAGGTCTAAACCAGGACTAAACCAGGTCTAAACCAGAACTAAGCCAGGTCTAAACCAGGACTAAACCAGGTCTAAACCAGAACTAAGCCAGGTCTAAACCAGAACTAAGCCAGGTCTAAACCAGGTCTAAACCAGAACTAAGCCAGAACTAAACCAGGTCTAAACTAAGAGTAAACAGGTTTATTTGATTTACTGCTTTTCATAAACAAATACAGTTCATATTTTTGCTGAACTGAGTTAAACATTTTGGCTCCACAATATTTTCTGTTTTTCACGTGGCCCCATGAGCCTCACACAGAAAACTAAAACTTTTACTTCATTTTTGTACTTTTACTGTTGTACTTCGTTATCTTCCAGCACACTTCAGGTCGTATCTAGAATGACTCTACAGATAAACACTTCAGGTCGTATCTAGAATGACTCCACAGATACACACTTCAGGTCGTATCTAGTATAACTCCACAGATACACACTTCAGGTCGTATCTAGAATGACTCTACAGATAAACACTTCAGGTCGTATCTAGTATTACTCCACAGATACACACTTCAGGTCGTATCTAGAATGACTCTACAGATAAACACTTCAGGTCGTATCTAGTATGACTCCACAGATAAACACTTCAGGTCGTATCTAGTATAACTCCACAGATACACACTTCAGGTCGTATCTAGTATGACTCCACAGATACACACTTCAGGTCGTATCTAGTATGACTCCACAGACACACACTTCAGGTCGTATCTAGTATGACTCTACAGATAAACACTTCAGGTCGTATCAAGAATAATTCCACAGATGTATAACTCAGGTCTCACCTAGTATGACTCCACAGCTGAGCAGCGCGCGCAGAGACGTGCCCTGCCTGAGGATGGCGTACGAGAGCAGCACGTTGAACACGGTGCTCAGGGACCGGCCCACGGTGTAAAACGCCACTCCCACGTACTTCAGGCACAGGTTATTGAACGTGATCATCGCGATGAACACCACGGACAGCGGCAGCACCTCCCGGGACGTCTTCGGGTCGAACTTGAGCGACGGGAAGTGGACGTGTCCCGGGCAGAGGACGGAGAGCAGCGGGAGGAGCCAGCACAGCGCCACGGTCACTGCGCACTGGAAGAACGTGACGAACAGCGGCGCGTCCAGATCCTTGTTGTCCAGTAAATAGTTGTTGAGGAAAACCATTGTTATCGACACGAACCAGTACAGAGCGACCACGGCGGCGATCCTCCCCGCCCGCAGCAGGAACGTGTCCCCCCGCGCGTCCGTGCCGTCCGCCTCCGAGCCCGACAGAGCCATTCTCAGGATCCCGGAGCGCTTCAGCTGAATCCTGTTCATGGCGACACAGAAACAAAAGCATTTAGAGCATTTAGAGCATTTAGAGGGGTTTAGAGGCGGAAAAGCGGCCGGTCTGAACCGGTGAAGAGCCACAGAGCAGCGCTGACATGACGCCGCCGGAGCGCACTTCCGCAAACAAACGCACATCCGGTCTGTCCGCGCGCCTTCAAAATAAAACACGACAACGGTACTACTTTATTTTGTTACGCTGTGTCACGTATCTTTTTTTTTTTTACTACTGTAATACTTTTAAAAAATCCAAATCCACTTTA